TATGTGGACTAGAACAAGAGAATTTATCAAATAACCGCTAAAAAGTCTAAAACCTGTTCTCTTTTTGCCTTCAGTTATTTAGAGTTCATCGCGTAAGATTTTGCAACAAGAATTTGTAGTGGTCACAGAACTTAAAATATATAGAACTTAAAAGTGGAAATTTAAACAGATGTTAGTGCATTGATACAGAATTGATTGAACCAGCAATTTGGCTACCTCAAAAAAGGTTGGGATCGTTTGTTGCTGCTAATGAAAAGCAAATAGCGGATTATTGATTCTTCGTGGTGTACTGAATTTTTCTTAGCAGTATAAAGATTTAATTGTAGAAAGACTTCCAAATTGTAAACTACAAACCAATAAATATGCACTACCTTGCATAAAAGCAAATTTTTTACTTTTATCGACATGTTAATAACTTGTTGAATCAAACTTTATCGACTAATAAAAATGCTTTAAAGAAGTGATAGTATTCTAAGGATTTTTGTCAGTACCTAATGAAGAGAGGCTGTAATGTAATGCTACCTATTTAATGCAACGAACAATTTAGCGTTTATTCAGTTTATAAATTTACATTGTTGATGAAAACAGAAAACTTGTTTGAAAGCAGTATAAGAAAAATAGTTGAAATTAAACACTAACTATCAGTGGAATGGCAAATCGGCTTTTTTTTTTTTTTTTGGATACCTACATTCACTAAAAAGGTCTAGAAATAAGTCTAAAGTATAATGAAATTAGCAGCAAAAATAGACTATCAGCTTATTTAGGAAACTTTTAAATTGTAGATTACTGCGATAATATCCCACTCAATTATCACAGTTAATGATCCCACTTTATCTGGTATTTTTATCTGTTTAGTTTTCTCAGTGTTCTAAAAAGCCGGTTAATTTTTATGCCAAAAACTTCAGACTTTCTCAACCTTTTAGTAAATTAGTTTAAATACTTAAATTTGAAGCTAAAAAACATTTAGAATTGCTAAACATTATGAAGGTACTTTCTCACTTTTACTAGACAATACTATTTTCTGCATAAATAATTTAGTTTTTTTGTAACTGTACGTCCTGAACCGGAAAATGTAAATGACACTGTTCATCGTAAAAAGAATTAAATTTTGCTACAAATTGCAGGAACTGTTAAAGTCTCGTTTAAAATTTTTTCAAAATTAAAGAACAAGAAGTTATCATCTAAGCACTTTCCATTTATTGCATTACCTTATTCTTTTTTGCATTAAATTTGCTTCTCATGTTACTTAGTTTGAAGAACAGCAGCTGTTAACTACTCTTTAACCTGCAAAACCTTTAGTGGTTCAAAAGATACAAAAGATATCAAATGTTGCTTAAAAAGCCAAAGGTCGTCAAAAAAATTCACTACTTTGCTAAAGTGAGGAAGACCTGGAGCTTTAAAGCTAAATTTTGTATTGCTGACAAACAGTATCAGTCTAACTGGTAAAAAGACTTTTTGTTCTTGAAAATGCTTTTATTTTCGTATTATTTACTTATTTGTTAATTTCTATTTTATTTTTGCTTTTCCGGTTTGGAGAGAAGAAGGAAGGAAAAGTTGGAATTATGTGCCGAATGGTTAGGGATTTAAATACAAAAAAAATTGGTTCATAATTAAAGCAAAAAAAAAAAAAAAAAATGGAAGTAGTAAACTGTTACAAGAAAAAGTTCTTGATTAATTGCTTGCAAATAACAGCCAGTCTAAAATGACTACATACTCCAGCTGCAGATCCTGCTGGGATGGTTGAGAACTTTACTGGAATTATGTTTGCTCATACAAAATTTGCTTGTGTCTTTTTAAAGGGATTCTTCTGTTATTTACATAAAGATGATCGACGTATGCTACTTCCAAGGACATCAGTCGTTCTGCCTTTAGAAGTTCAAGAAAGCATTAAAAAAAGCCTTATTGTTTTATCACAAGAAAAAAATTGTGTACTATTAAGGTTACTATTTCTCGGTTTTTACGATAATGTGTTAATTAAAGCAAAAAAAGTTAATTATATAAACAAAATAAAGTTTGCATCATTGTAACTTTATTTCCGGCTAGCAAACGTTATCGATATCTTTAGAAGGTTCAATTGTATCTGCAGTTGACAAGACACTGATATTTACTGCTTTCCTTTCTACCATTGGTTGAACCAGTCGAGTGCAATTGGTAAACGAAGACGATTCAGAAAATAAGATGTCTCCTACTTTACCGTTTTAATTTGTTGTTCATTTTTACTTCTATTTTTATTTTTGGCATTTAACTATTGTTACTTTTTACAGTTATCAAAAAACTTGTTCTTTCATTCCTAATAAACTGCTTTAAATTTATTCACTGTCCGCAAAGAGGTTAAGAAACAAAATTTTTTATACATTATTGGTTGGATATAGGTTCAAAAACTGGAAGAGGAACAGTTGGCTTTGTACCAATAGCCAAATCAGTAAATTGTCTGCTAGAAAAATCTCAGTACAATAAACGTCGATAATGATCGGACTTTTTAAGAACAGAATCAAAATGGACTTACAATGCAAAATCGAAGTGAGTGACATTGTTCCGAACACACTGTGATACCAGTTGACTGCTGTTTCCTTTACCCCAAGTTACTCTCTTTAAGACTGCTTAAAAAGGAAACTAACGAGCAGCACGTCTTGAACTTCATCAGCATATTTTCGATTAATAGAAGACCAGAAGCATTTTGATCATTTATGCCTACCAAAAATCGAAAGGTTTGCCAACTCGATTTGACTTTATCATTCACATTCACATTTAAGAAATTTCTTGTTCGCATAAAGTGGTTTTGATTGTAAACACGTCATTATAAAAGTGGTTCCGTACGGTACTGATCATTTTTTTTCCCGCTTACTTATTCTGAAGTAAATGCAACAACTTTTGAATAATTAAATGGAAAATTAACTAGAATCTGTTTTTCGCAGTGAAACCACCTATACAAAACTAGGATGTATCGTTTCATCTGCTTTGCTTCTAAACGAGGGGATTAACCCTGATAAAAAAAAGAATTCGTAAAAGCTAGGAACCATTCAAAAGCGGTTTAAATAAGTTTAACTTCTTTTATCTTTATTTTTAATGCAGTTACAAAAGTCAAATAGCTGATTACTGTTAGAAGTATTGCCAGAACTGATTCATACAACAAAAAAAATTTTCAGAAGTGATCGTTTTATTATTTGAGTACGATTGTTCAAAAGGTTATTAAGTACATGCACTTTTGTGAAAACTGCTTTTATTCTTTTACTTTCTATAAAAAGTAGCAAGGAGAACGTTTTTGGCTGAGAAAGCTTCTTACAAAATAAACACTTAGCGGAAGAATTAGAAAGCTTTTTTGCAGAAATTAACGGATGGAGAAAAGCTTTGAATTACTCCCATTTTTTCAATAACGTTGCTCTTCGAACTATCATATAAACATTATGCAGACTCATACAAGGAAAAATTCAAAACTTTTATTTACAATTAGATTTCTTCAAATTTTACCTTCGTTCACCTATTTTCCACCCTGAAAAAAAATTTCTAGAGATTTATTTCTTTCATTTCCTTGTAAAAGCAATGATCATTCTAAACAAAAGGCAGTCTTGCTTATAGTCGGATAGGTAAGTTAACATTTGACATAGGTGGGCCTGTTTGGAAGACATTTATTAAAGGAAGACTAGTTCTTGAAATTCACATGGACCAACGATAGCAAGTCTGCTGAACAGAAAAAAACTCAGAAAATCTTTCAAAACTGCTCCAAAAAATGCTTTACATGAGCGGCTCGTTCAATCCATTATTAAAATTTCTCACTTTGAATGTAGAATTGGGCAAAAACTCTGTTGTTTGAACAGTCTCAAAAGTAGCTTTTACTTGAAGTAATTTTTTAAAGACTTTCAGTGGGAGAAGCTTAGAGAACCGTTTCCATTTGCTAAATAAAAACCCGTCTTGCTTCGAACATTTATTTAAGCTAAATTGCACTTGAGTTTTCAAACCCTGGCGAACGAAATGGCTAATGTTTTGTGCGATTATTCGCTCAACTCCTGATGATGGCGTTGAGGTGATCGTATCAGATAGTGTTATTCTGACGTAAAATTGAACGTTTAATTGAATAGTTTAACGCATATTGTAAGCACCCTTTGTAGCCGCGCACACACACCAAGTGTAATCAGGCGTCGTATAGGTGTTACTGTGCTCCTCTTTTATTTTAATTTAGCACATTTAGAGGGGCTTATGAGGCACGTTGATCATAAGAAATTTGTCTCTTAAAAAGGCGCTGTTTTGTCTGAGCAAAGTTTTTGCAAAAAATTCCCGTTTTTAATTAGACTTCATAAAAAATAAGGTTCTTTTTGAAAAAAATTTAGTTGCTTTGGCAGGAACTTTTGTTTAAGCGTTGTAAAATCAAAAAAAAAAAAATTAGACCTACCAACAATAATTTTGGATGATCAAGAAGAAAAAGAAGGAAAAGGAACTGTTCTGAGCAAAATTGTAGATCAGAAATGGTAAAGCGTATGAATACCACTATTCTCCGTATCGTGTTTTAGAAAATTTTTATTCTTTTTAACACAGATCTGCACAATGAGGTAATTTTCTCGTTCAAAAAAGGAGCCGAAAAGTCGCTGCTGCAAAAAATTTCTTTTGCACAACTTATGCGTTCATTGTCTGTAGTTATTTTTCTTCCTCTCTAGGCTGTGAGAATTTCCTCTGTACTATCAATGATTTGTTTAACACAATTATGCCGCAAAAAGAAATAATGGTCTGTTCCTTTTTTAATTCGTTTCTATTATATAAGGACTTCAGCAAAATGTAGTTTGAATCCAGTTGTTTTCAATTTCTGTTTACAAGGCCAATCTCTGTTAGCGTTGTTACCAATCGTAGTTATTGTAATTCGCCTTATGCGTTATTCTCTTTCAAACAGTTTCTACGTCTGACACTGAAATATTACTTGAATTTGAGGTTTTAAAACAGTGATCGCTCTTTATTGTACTATTCGATTAGTTGCTTGAAAGTATTCATCAGTCAGCTTTGTCCATTGAAGCTTATATAGAATAGTACTTTCAATTATGGCTGCCACATTATACTTACAATGCAGTGACGGAGAACTATGGTTTCGAGGAGAGCTATTTGGTGCGAAGAAAAGTGTTTCTGGCGAGATTGGTTTGTTTCACTCTTTAGTTCGTGCTTTTTCTGTCCTATTATTGCAGTTAATGAAACAAGTTTTCTCTCGAAATTACTGCCTAATCAAAATTATTTTTTTTGTTTTGGGGATTAACCGCAAGAAAAATTTCAGTTTTTCAAACTGGTATGGTTGGGTATGAGGAATCTCTAACAGATCCATCCTATGCCAGACAGTTGTTGGTTCTGACCTATCCGCTGGTCGGTAACTACGGAGTTTCGCTGGCTGCCCAAGACCAATATGGCTTACCTATGACCTTTGAATCTGATCGTGTCTGGCCACAGGCTCTTATTGTTGACAGGTTTGAAGATTTTTAGCTGTTTATCATGAGGGTATCAAGGCGTGGCTCTAAATGCTGCTCAGATGTTTGGCACTTCTTTGCAAGGTACTGGGTGATTTTTTACTGGACTCCGGAACACGTTGTTTTTCAAAAAAAAATTTTTTTTCTGGTATTTATTACGTCAAAGGTGCAATATCATCAAACATTATTCAGCTTAATTAACAGATATTTTTTCATTCTGCCATTCCCATGCGCCTTCCACTTTTGCTTTCCTTTTTTCTTTTTTGAGTCACACTTTGCAGAAGAATGTTACAAAACAAAGTTATTGCGTATTTCGCTGTGGTCTTCTACAGTTTGACTTAAACTTTTTTTCCCCCTTATATATTACCCGTTTGCTTCCTCACTTTTATTTCGGTAATCATGCGTGAGTTGGGAAGGTTACGTAGTTACGTATAAGTAGTGGCTAAGTGAGACCATAGTCTCTATGGCTTGCTGAGGTCTAGATAGAAATAGTTTTAATTTGTAGCGTAATAGCAGTTTTAGATTTATTGCCATTACGAAACAACATTTTTATATAATGGAGTAGGAATAAGATAATAACAAATCTTTGTAGCAGTTTCGGAAGGTAGCCAGCGGTACACCATAAGTTACCATTATTTTGAAAAAGGCCTTGTGTCAAGATATGCATCTTCAGCGAATTAGTTTTATAAGTCTTCTCACTTCTTATTTGAAAAAGCAAACAAAGAGGAGTTTGCACTTATTTATTTATACTAAGAGTCGGTTTTGAAAAGGTTAACTTTTTGCATGTTTATGACTTCAGAATTTATGAGAAGGCATGCGGGTAGTGCATCAGTGAAACAGAACTAGAAGGTAGGTAAAAAGTCGATGACTGATGCTTACAATGGTGAGTTGTTATTTTACTTAGGTGCCGTGTGAATCGTGCTTTTCGTGTGACTCGTTAGCAGCATCTCGTTACTGAACTATTTCTGGAGCTCGGTTTTTGTGGTACTGACACGCTACTTTGCTGAGTGAATTACAGTGTTACACATTAGTTGTTAAAATTGCAAATCTGAGAGTTGATTATGAATGTAGGATTCAACAAGTTCTCAGCTAAGAGCCAGAGATGCATATGATGTGAAAAAAAGAAAGTTTCAGTGTTACCTTCCCTGTTTTTGAAATTATGAGTTTTGATACTTTAGTTTGATCTGTATTTTAAGCTCTCTGGTAATTGAATGCGTGAAGAATTAATGGAACTTCCATTGTTTTCTGTGATTTTCTCTGAACAACTTTTTTATTCATCTTGGCTTTGTAGCTGTGGAAAAATAAAGTTTGGAAAGCAGCTCCCTTATTCTCATTCCGTCGCTGCAGATAAAACAAGTCTTTCGTTATGTTAGAGGAAAACAGCTTGTTGTAAAAAAGTCTCCAAATTTAAATCTAAATCTGCAGTCACTGATAAGGGGTTAAAGGAATCTCTTCCGCTACTTTTGTTAGAGTCGTCAAACTGCAGAAGAATCAGCTGTTGCTAGGTGGATTTTACCTCAAAAAGTGCCAAACATTTTTCACAGCTTCTTTGGCTTAATGACATATGTTTTGTGAAGGATATGTCCGGAAGGGGAGCAGTGTGATCGAGAGATCAGCGAATCTTTGAACCAATATTTGAAAAAAGCTGGTGTACCTGGTCTTTCGGGAATAGATACCCGTCATTTGACGAAAATTATACGTGAGAAAGGAGTGATGAAAGCAAAAGTATGTGGGTTTGGATTTGAGCAAATGCTTAAGTACGTTTATGCGCCAGTTGGCGACAAACTTTATTTTTAATTTATGGTCTATTATCGCTTGAAAATGACTGCTGCAGATCATTGTGGACAACGAAGAAAGCATTACAGATTTACCCTACGTAGATATCAACGAGGAGAATTTAATTGAACTTGTTTCTACAAAGGTATTTAGAACAAAAATTTTTCTTCTGATTAATCATTGTTGTTAATGTATTGGTTCTTTTTTAGACTATGAGAACATTTGGTGATGGTGGGTTGCGAATCATGATGGTTGATTGCGGTGCAAAGTACAACCAGATTAGATGTTTTTTAAAAAGAGGAGCGTCGGTTCTTCTTGTCCCACACAATTACAGTTTTGACCAAGCCTTTGGTGCGACTTTTTTCTGAATTTTCTTCGTTCTTGATAATGCTAGAAATTAATTCGACTGGTACAGTAGAATATGATTGTCTATTTAGACTGTGATGGCCTTTTCCTTTCCAATGGCCCTGGAGATCCTTCTCACTACACAGATCTTGTAGAACGAATTAGAAATTTTTTGGAGAAAGAAGTGCCAGTTTTCGGCATTTGCTTGGGCAACCAACTTCTCGCTCTTGCGGCAGGTGCGAGGACTAGTAAGCTGAGGTGCCGGCTTCGTTGGTTTAGTGGGAACTTTCTTGATCACACATGATTGTTTTTGACAGCAACCTGACCCACATCCGGTTTAGATATGGGAACAGAGGGCATAATCAGCCCTGTGTACATATTGACACTGGACGGTGTTTTATTACTTCGCAAAATCATGGATTTGCGGTGGATGTGGAGACTTTACCGCCTGATTGGGATCAGTTATTTGTTAATGAGAACGATAAGACAAATGAAGGAATTATTCACAGAAATCTTCCATTTTTTGGGTATTTATTCAAACCTTTCTTGATGTCTCTCTATAGTGGTTTTGGAGTAAGTGGAGTACAGAAATATTCGGCAGCTTGTTCTGATTCTTTCTACTGTTCCAGTGTTCAGTTTCATCCAGAACATTGTGCGGGTCCTGAGGATTTGGAATGTTTGTTTGATATTTTTCTTGATGCTGTTTGTAAGCGGAAAGAGAATACAGAGTTTTCTTTGAGAAATTTGTTAACGGAAAAATTGGGTTTTATGTGCAAGTATGTTGTACCGCCGCAAAGCAAAGTTCTGATTCTTGGTTCTGGAGGGCTTTCGATTGGTCAGGCTGGAGAGTTCGATTATTCAGGGGCTCAGGTTTGAAGAGTTAAATTTTATTGCCTAAGTGGTGTTGTAATCTGTTTAGTAATCGTTTAACTACAAGTATAATCGTCTTCTTAATTTTAAAGGCTATAAAAGCTCTGAAAGAACAGTCGGTGCTAACAGTACTGGTGAACCCAAATGTTGCCACTGTGCAAACTTCCAAGGGCTTTGCAGATCAAACTTATTTTGTGCCAGTGTCACCAGACTATGTTACAGACGTAATTCTTTCTATATTTGTTTATTTTTTTTCATTTGTTCCTGTAAAAGTTGTTTTAAATTCTATTCAGATTATCAAGAAAGAGCGTCCATCTGGCTTACTGTGCACTTTCGGTGGTCAAACAGCCTTAAATTGTGCCATTGAATTGTACAAATCTGGAATACTTAGAAAGTATAGTGTGGAAGTTCTTGGAACAGCAATTGAGGTTCAAAAAAATTTTATTGTTTATGTTTAATTAGCAGCTCGTTTCTTCGTGGTCTCAACAAGGAGTAGTTTTATTTAGATTTCTCTATATTACTTTATATCCATGATTTTAAGACAATTATAAAAACTGAAGATCGTGAGTTGTTCAACTTGGAAATGGCAGCTATCGGTGAAAGAATAGCTCCAAGTGAAGCAGCAGTGACTTTGGGAGATGCCGTTGCTGCTGCAAACAAGGTAGGTTCTCTGAATAGGGTGACTCGTTTTTTGATTGAGGTTGAAATTTTTTCTTTCGCTGTGTTCTGGAAGGTCATCTTACAGCCACCAGAGTAAAATTGTTTTTAGCAGCTGCTTTCATTCTATTAAAATTAATTAATTTTTCGAATTGTTTAGATTGGATATCCTGTTATGATACGTGCAGCCTATGCATTAGGTGGCCTTGGGTCGGGTTTTGCAGACAACGACGAGGACCTTTTGAAGGTGGCTCAGGTGGCGCTTGCGCACAGCAATCAAGTCCTTATTGATAAAAGTCTTCGAGGATGGAAGGAGATTGAATACGAAGTCATAAGGGATGCTTATGACAATTGTATCACGGCAAGTCTATAAAAATACTGCAGTTTTACACTGGTTTAAAAGATTCTCGTTTTAAGGATTTATCCGGTCTTTGATTCTCTAAAAATCAATTTAGGTCTGCAATATGGAAAACATAGATCCTTTGGGCATCCACACTGGTGAAAGCATCGTTGTTGCGCCTAGCCAAACGCTTACTAATCACCAGTACCAGACGCTGCGTTCTGTTGCCATAAAAGTTATCCGACACTTAGGCATCATCGGGGAATGTAACATTCAGTTTGCTGTAAATTCCATAAAGTTTGAGGTATTTTTGAAAAATAATTTGGGTCTCCATTGTGTGCCAGTTTTTAATGTTTTGAGTGGAGGAATTTGCATTAACAAATTTATTGTTTCTAGTACTACATAATTGAAGTAAATGCAAGGCTCTCTCGTAGTTCTGCCTTAGCGAGTAAAGCTACCGGCTACCCGCTCGCTTATGTTGCTGCTTTGCTTGCTTTGGGAAAAGATCTGTCAAAAATAAGGAACAAGATTACCGGAACCACAACGGCGTGTTTTGAACCGTCTTTGGATTACATAGTAGTTAAAATCCCGAGATGGGATTTGAATAAATTTGCGCGAGTGAGTACGAAGGTATATCATGTTGCTTGAAAAGTTAAGCGGTTTTAGAAATTTAAGGTTTCAGCTCACGATATTTTCTTCGTAATGGTAAAAGTTTAATCAAATTTATCTCGATTTACGAAGAACAAGGAGTTTTAAGACAGAGCTCATTAACCTTTTAAGATCGGGTCTTCGATGAAATCAATTGGTGAAGTGATGAGTATTGGGCGTTCATTTGAAGAAGCGTTTCAAAAGGCTCTGCGTATGGTGAATGAGAACGTCGACGGTTTCTCACCCAGTGCATTTCCCAAGGAACCAATTGATGAGGTTCCATGCTTTTTTGTCCTCTGTTCGCACTACGTAGTTTTGTCGTCTAAATTATGGAAAATTTTTAGGATTTCTTGTCACCAACGGACAAAAGAGTGTTTGCTTTAGCTCGTGCGCTATATTCGAAGAAGTATACTGTAAGTACCCTTCGGGAACTAACAAAAATTGACTCATGGTTTCTTTATCGTATGCAACACATAATTGCACTTCACCAAAAATTAGAAAATTATGGGGTAAGTTCTCTTCTGCAAAGCTTAATATGCTTCTTTTGATTTTAAGTTATAATGAACTTATGTGGACTGGGCGGAAAATAAGACTGTGAGAACTACCAAGATAAGATCTGTATTTTGTAAGAATTCTTTACAATGCTTTATCTCAAATGCAGTAAAATCTGGGACAGGGATTTCAGTTGCAAAATTTTTTCTACTTGTTGATCCATGGTAAGGTTTAAGACTCTATTCAAGCAAATGATCTTACTTGTGTTGCGGGCACCTTGTTTTCTGATATAGTTTTTTTTTAGTCGTGTTAAAGGAAATGGTAGCTTACTGACTTCATTTAAAATTTATATCTTAATTAAGCGCGTGTAAGCAAGGATTTTTTGGATAAATATTCTACTACTTAACGTTCTTGATTTCTATATTACAGCTTGTTGACTTGCCTGAGTCACTTGTGAGAGAAGCAAAAAAGTGCGGTTTTTCTGACAAACAAATTGCAAGCATTATCTACAGGTATGACTTCACTTTTCCGGAAACGTCATGCCTCTAATAAATTTGTTTTAACCAAATATCTGGTGTTTCAGAGAGCGCAAAAACTTCAACGAATTGAATGTTAGTAAACTGAGGCAGAAGTTGAACATTAAGCCGCTAGTAAAACAAATTGATACTTTAGCGGCTGAATGGCCAGCTCAAACTAATTATCTTTATTTAACGTATAATGGTCGCGACGATGATGTCCTCTTCAATGTGGTAAGCTTCAGGCTTTTCTCTAAAAAATTTAATTTAAAATCACTCATTTTCATGGGCACATTAGATTTTAATAAAAGTTCCTCAATGAAGAAAAACGGCGTGATTGTACTTGGAAGTGGCGCGTACAGAATTGGATCGTCTGTCGAATTTGATGCTTGTAGCGTTTCATGCATCAATGAACTGAAGAAGCTTGGGTACCAACCGATAACGATCAACTGTAACCCTGAAACAGTCAGTACTGACTATGATATGTGCAGCCGGCTGTATTTTGAAGAAGTCTCTTTTGAAGTTAGTTTCCTGGCACATTCATTCCCATGAAATTATTGACAATCGAGAGTGCTCTTTGTATATAGCTGGGCGTTAAAGGTACTGGCCGACATTTACGAGAAGGAATATCCAACCGGTGTAATAGTTGCATTCGGCGGTCAATTGCCAAACAATATTGCTGGTTATTTGGCAAGATCGTCTCCATTTTCCGATTTCAAAATTAACATTTTTGGGACACTACCGGATTTCATTGAAATAGCTGAAAATCGGTTTAAGTTTAGCAGATTATTAGATAAACTGCAGGTTTGTTCTCATCCACTAAATGCATTTTTGCCTTCAATCTTGAACTCTTCAAAAATGGAAGTTTTTTTTGATTTCTCAACCCCGGTGGAAGGAAACAAGTGACCTAAATGCTGCGGAAGAGTTTTGTGAGGAGGTTGGATATCCATGCATAATTCGGCCGTCGTTTGTGCTCTCAGGAGCAGCCATGAATGTTGCTCATAACCGGGTAATTTTTGAGGCAAATTACTTCAACTCCTTCTCCGTGGTTGATCAATTCGGTTCTTCGGAGGAGTATGTTTGCAGGATGACTTCAGAACATTTTTAAGTCGTGCCGCAAAAGTGTCGAATGAGTATCCTATAGTTGTCTCTGAATTCATCAGCAACGCGAAGGAGATCGACGTGGATGCGGTGGCTTTTGATGGAAAGGTATTTGTTGACAGATAGTAACTTAAATTTGTTTAGAACGGTTTAAGTTTTAAAGGTATTAGCATCGGCAGTATGTGAACATGTAGAAAACGCAGGCGTTCATTCTGGTGATGCAACTTTGGTCACTCCACCTCAAGACATGACGGTGATTACGGACAAAAAAATTCAGGTGAGTTTAAGATTAAGTCAAGATGGGTTCTGTTATGGGTTGTGAGCTGTAATTTTGCCTGTAATTGACAGGGTGATAAGTTTGCCGTATCTTTAAAAATTAACCTTCCAGCTCTTAAAATGAATAATTTATTTTTATATAATGCTTTTTCTTGGTTTCCACGTCCAAAATTTGAAGCATTGTGAGAGTCGCTAAAAAGCGTAGTATTAACTGAACTTTACTATAGCGCATGATTGTTCGAATTGCCGAGGCACTGAGTATATGTGGCCCCTTCAACATGCAACTAATCGCTAAGGACGACCAGCTAAAAGTATATTAATTATTTTGACGTTTTACGTTCTTTAGAGGGCAGGCACGTCCCTGACTAGCACGAGATTTATCTTACAAAATGGCTCATGGTAGAGCTTTTCAAGGTTATTGAAGTCAACTTACGTGCTTCACGTTCTTTCCCGTTCATTTCTAAGACATATGACTTCGATTTTGTTGCTTTGGCAACTAGGTGTGTCATGGCGAGAGAGGATCATTTGCTAAAAGCGTCCCTGAAACCAGTCAATGTAACCACGAATAATCGAGTGGGGGTCAAGGTAATTCACTTTTAGAGTTGTCTTTTAATGCTGCTTCAATTCTGTGCCGTCTCAGCTACAGGGTAAGCGGCATAGTCGCTGAGCTTAGCAATGTGGAATGTTTTGACTGTACGCTGTTTCTTTTAAGGTGTCGCAGTTCTCGTTTTCTCGTTTAGCTGGCGCTGATGTTATGCTGGGAGTTGAAATGGCATCCACTGGAGAGGTGGCAGGATTTGGTGAAGATCGTTATGAAGCCTACCTCAAGGCACTTATTTCTACTGGATTTGTCCTGCCTAAGAAGACTATATTTCTTTCTATCGGAGGTTACCATGTAGGTGGTCATTAATTTCTGTTATTAAATGCTTTCTTAATTACTTTTATTACTGATGCTCGTGGTTTCATTTCATTGCACTGTTAAGGGTTTTAGTGCGTTGTTTGTAAATGACACTTGCAGGCGAAGGCAGAAATGCTAAGCTCTGTTCGAATTCTTCACGACCTTGGTTTTACCTTACTGGCCAGCAAAGGGACTGCAGACTACTTCTCCAGCAACAAAATCCCTGTGAAGATTTAATCAGTTAAATCAAGACTTCGATAAATAAGTGATGACCGTAGCATTGCGTTTTCCAGATTAAAGCAATGGATTGGTGTTTTGATGAGAAAGACGAAGGGAATGAGAAAACTGCGGCACAGTCATCAACATTAGCTGAGGCCCTGCGTAATAAAGCTGTACATTTAGTTATAAATCTGCCTATCCGTGATTCGGGTGCTTATCGGGTCTCTGTTTTCCGCACTCATGGCTACAGGTAGGTAGTGACTAGGAAGTTGAATATTCTAAAGCTGTTTTTTGACATCTGGGCTTGCTAATTATTTTTTTAGGACTAGGAGATTGGCAATTGACAGTGGTGTACCCTTAATAACTGATATCAAATGCGCCAAGTTGTTCATACATGTAGTTCTTCATAGATGAATTTTTCTTTTCAACAGAATCTTTCAGACAGTTTCAGAAACTACTCTATACCTGTGCATTTTTACCGGTAATTTTTGTGCTTTTTTTAAGGCACTGAGAATTTTCAAAGGGAGGCCGAAAATGAATCCGAAGCTTGATGGTGTTTCGTCACGTCTGTTAAAAAGGCTCCCTGGTTTCATTGACGTCCACGCGCATATGAGAGAGCCTGGACAGGAGCACAAAGAAAATTGGTACAGTGGCACTTGCGCAGCTGTTGCTGGCGGGATAACCATGGTTCTTGCAATGCCGAATACAATTCCTCCAATAACTAGTGAAGAAAACTTTCGATTTGCGGATACTGTGAGCCGTTCCCATTAATTCAGAGACCCAGGCTTCTGTTACTTAACTAATGCATTTCAGATTGCTTCGAATTCTGCTGTTGCTGATTATGCTATGTATCTCGGTGGTACAAACAGTAATGCTGAAATAGTTTCTGCTTTAGCTTCTCGTTCCTGCGGTCTGAAACTTTATATGAATAGCACCTTCTCAGAAATAAGACTTGATTCGCTTGAGGACTGGATTAAAGTTAGATTATGTGGCTGTTTTCTATAACTGGATTTTTGATAGTGATTACGTTCCACAGTGGTTTTGCGAAATTGTTTGTTCTTAGCACTTCAAATCCTTCCCTACCAGCAAACCGATAGTCTGTCATGCGGAATCAAATACTTTGGTCGAGGTTTTAGCTGTGGCACAACTCTGCAAAAGACATGGTAAATTTGGTTTTTTAAGTCCCATTTTATTCAACTTTTGATGCTTTGAGGCCATAGAAGCTGTTTTAGTACATATTGCACACGTTTCAACCGCATTTGAGATCCGTCTGATACGAATGGCTAAAGAAGCAGGTTGGAAGGTCACATGCGAGGTTTCTTCCAATTACCTGTCTTTTAATTATAATGCGGCTTTGATTAAGTAGTCTACTGTTTGTAAAAGAGTAGTGGCAAAAAACTCTGTCGATTCCTATTAGCGGGAGTTTGTTGACGCATTTTCTCGTTTGACTCTGTTGGCAAGAATGGGACAGTTTCCTGAGCAAAATCGTTATATTTGTCTTATTTTACTCGTTTCTAAATATTTTCGGTTTAAAGGGCTTTGCATGCAAGTGTAGAAATTGAATTCTTCATAAAGTTTGAGTCATTCTGGAAACTTTTTAAGGTTTGCCCCCATCATCTTTTTCTTACCAGAGACAGCGTCCCTGCTGGATTTCAAGAAGTCAGGCCTAAACTTGGCACTGAGGAGGATAGACTCGCTCTTTGGGAGAATATTAGTGCGATTGACTGTTTTTCAACAGATCACGGTATGGTAGTTCATTTACCAGTTCACTTATTGTCGCTATCAATCTTGTTTTTAAGCGCCCCATACTGTCGATGAGAAAAAAAAGGGATTGCCAGGATTTCCTTCAGTTGAATATATCGTTCCTCTGTTGCTGACGGCTGTCTCCGAAGGAAAGATGACCTTAGAGCAACTAATTGAGCGCATGTACACGAATCCGAGAAGAATTTTCAGTCTCCCGGCACAGAAGGATACATATATAGAGGTAATTTACTGAGTAAAATATAGGCACAGATCTCAATACTGCGTTCTCCACTCCATTCTGCATAGGTGGATGTAAATGAAGAGTGGAAGATTCCAAATGATGGAGGGTTTAGCAAAGCTGGTTGGACACCTTACGGTGGTAGAACGGTAAAAGGCAGAGTGCATACAGTCGTAATTCGTGGTGAGGTATGTAACTCCTTTATATTTGGGCTCAGCGGCTCTATCATATTCGTGAGAATTCTCGACATACTTATGACCCAAGTTTTTTCCGAGAGGTACCATCAGCACTGTTGAAGATGAAATAAATTTTTGAGGAGGTATTTGTGGACGGTAAGGTCGTTTGTAGCCCAGGTTTTGGCAAGAATGTATTTACGTCAACGGACTCTCGCCTTTCTTTTGACGACATTCACGGTAATTCCTTAAAAATTTCGCTCCGCTTTATAGTTTTTTATTTGCTTTATTTGCTTTAGAAACTGAGTCCCATACAGTGAGCCCTGTCCTCATCAGAGGCTCTCAGAATTCTGAAGCTGAAACAAGCAGTACTTGTTCCGATCTCGACTTCAGTTCTTCGGCGGTCCCTATACAGGATACCGTATTCAAAGTATGCTTTTAAGTAAATAGCATGCTAGGATTATATATAATAGCGCTTGTGTTAATCGCAGGGTCGCAGTATCATTGAAGTGGAGACAATTTCTAAAATAATGTTGGATAAAGTTTTTGACCTGGCTGCTCAGTATCGCAATTGTGTTGACGAGGGCGAAAGCAGAATACACGAAGTACTTAAGGTTTGTTTTTGACGCACTTTTTTTGCCATCCGGATCTTGCGTAGAACAGTCCTCTGATGGCAAATTCTGGCTCATTGGTTAGCAAATAATGTTGAAGGGGTACACACTGGGCCTTGTGTTTTACGAGGCATCTACTCGGACTGCTAACTCATTTACGGCGGCAATGCAGCAGCTTGGTGGAAGTGTGCTAATTATGAATGAAAAAACTTCGTCTATTCAGAAGGGTGAGAGTTTGGAAGGTCAGTGAGTTAAAATCTTTGTCGCTAGTTATGATTTTTATTCGAATAAGCAGCTCTGATAAACACGGGAAAAGTTCTATTTTTTTCTAATAGTTAGGACTAGTTATTTCAATTTCAGATACTATTATCATAATGAGTTGCTACACGGACGTTATCGCGTTGCGACATCCTGAGAAAGGAGCAGCAGCAAGGGCTGCTCTCTCAGTGCATAAGCCTATCATAAATGCAGGCGACGGTGTCGGCCAACACCCAACTCAAGTTGGCTGTTTTCTAAGCCGAGTCTTGCTATGAGTTCATTATTGGAATCTTCCTAGTAACTCTGACATTTGTCAAAGTCAGTTTGCATTTCAGGCTATCCTAGACGTATTTACCATTCGAGATGAAATCGGTACCGTGCACAACGTAAAAATCGCACTAGTCGGCGATTTACGAAACGGTCGTACTGTTCACTCGCTAGCGAAACTCCTTTGTTTGTTCCGCGACGTGACTATTCACTACGTTGTGCCTCATCCAGACCTATCTATCCCAGATGATATCGTAGACTACGTGGAGGAGCATGGGAAGAATACAAAACAAGTAAGTATTTTCTGCTCTAATGCAACAAAACTTTTAATTTAAAAAATATCCAGATGTAGGAATCCGTGTGTATAATGATCTGAAAGTTGCAGCATATTATTTCGTCCTAATCATCGTCCCTATTACAGGAATTCTTTGATGACCTTGCTGCT